AAAAAAAAAAAAAAAAAAAAAAAAAAAAAGTCATGTTTAAAAAATGAGAAGGAGAGGCAGGGGTAAGAAGAAAAATGGTTTTACTTCAACAGTAAGTTAAAAATTGCATAAAGGCAAATTAAAATATCAAATAAGTCAAACGGAATTTCTTGACATCTCTAAGACGTATAAGAAAAAAAATTACTTGTGTCATTGACTAGTACTTATTCTCTGATATACTGCATCATTTTGCCACCCTTTTTTAAATGCATATATTTTTCAATACGTAAAGTGCATTTTCAATTTTTAGGGGTGAGAAAATCAAATTACAATTCAAAATCTCAAAGTCATGTTTTTGAGATGTGTGAATTATAAATTCACACAAACTGTATGTACAATTGTATGTATTATTGATATACTTTCAATTGTAGAGTAATGGAAATAACCCAAAAATTAGAATCAGAAGACTCAATTTCACATTATCTAGCTGTTTGGCCTTGAGGTAGTCTTTTAATCTCTCTGAAAATACGTTTCTCACTGTTAAATGCTAAACAGATACCCCACAGAAATCCTGAAACTCCTTCTACTTTAAATGCTAAAATACAGAATAAGGTTGTTATTTCTACTACAGGAGAAGAAAACATTATAAATATGGTTTTGTTTTCTATCAATTAATCAAATTTGTGAAGAAGAAAATTCATGCAATATTGAATAATGGTTTTTACTAAGTAAATCATAGATTACTTGAAACTATATTTAAATTTGTATTTAAAATTTTAAGTTGAAAATATTAAATGTTTAACGCTTAAATGAGAAAAAAGTATAAAATCTAGCAAAATACTTTTGAATATTTTCCTATGACCCAAGAAAAATCTTTCTCTTCTCACTGCCTTTACCAAATTAATAAAGAACTTCCAAAAGAACATTTTAGTGAATGTCATAAAACCTGTGATTTATAAAAAAAAAAAAAATGCCACTTTGACTTTTAAGTTATTATCAGTCTGAAGAGCCGCTCTAAATCAAACTATTATAGAATCTACTCCCAAACCACTACTTGGCAACAAAGATGAATCTACCTATTACCAGGTTAGGATAGCAGCTATTATCACGGCCCCTTGATTTCTTTCAAGTAGCTCCAATGGAAAAAGCCACAAGTGAATAATAAAAATCTCATAATGGCTCTTAAGAATTCTTTATATGGTAGAAGGCACTAAAATGAACTCTGGAGAGTTAAAAAGAAAAAAAAAACTCTCCTCCCCTGATAAGAAAAAATAATTAACCTGACTTAATGCATCTGAGAAGGCTTCCTATAAATCAGACTTTTGTACTTCAAGAGCCAGATTAAAACCATATATCAAAAAAGTATGTAGATATTGCCTCATAAGTACACATAGCACATTTCTAAATCTGCAGAGGTTTTTAGGCCTTTTTGTGAAACACTCAATACATGCTATTTAAAAGAAGTGTGAAGTACTTACAGTGCTTAATTTGCTCGAGGTAATCACGATGCGCCTTTCGTGCAGCATACTGGCATACAGCTGCAGCATGTTGTTCACATCCACAGCAACAAAATATTCTGTAAGATTTCTCTGTACAAGTGAAAAATAATTGTGTAAGTTACAGTTCATGGTGAATGTGAAGGAAAACATTTTACACATTTACCAGAAAGTCTTTAAGTTCAAAAGTTATTATTATTTAAAATGGTATTCATTAAAATAATTAAGTGTAATACTAGTCTGCTGCCACATGAAGCACATAATATTCTATTATTAGCTGAAATATATCCCTACTCAAGAAAAGTGTTTTCAGAGGATGATCAGATCACAGATTTCCCAACTTCCCTACCCCCTAAGAATTTGAAAAGAAGCTAATTTCTTGGGCCCCAACCTAGACCTGCAGATTGTCATCTTCAGAGTAGGTTCCCAAGAATCTGCTCTCTTTTTTTAGCCACCCAGGCTGGAGTGCAGTAGTGCAATCTTGGCTCATAGGAACCTCCGTCTCCTGGGTTCAAGCAATTTTCATGCCTCAGCCACCAGAGTAGCTCGGATTACAGGTGCATACCACCATGTCCAGCTAATTTTTGTATTTTAGTAGAGACAGGATTTCACCACATTGACCAGGCAGGTCTCAAACTCCTGACCTCAGATGATCTAACCACCTTGGCCTCCCAAAGTGCTGGGATTACAGGTATGAGCCACCACACCTGGCCAAGAATCTGCTTTTTAAACACATACTTCTGGTAATTCTTATACACACTGATGCTTCAGAAACCAGTGGCCCAAACAATACATCTGAGTCTTTTCGTGTTTGCCATTCACTATGCAGGCACAATCAGTACCTGATATTACATAGCATACACAAGGCACCCAAAGGATGAGGTGATTTTATAAGACAGCCCTTTGGTACTTTATTAAGGAAATTCACTTGTTTATACTTCAAGTCCAGCTTGCTTTGTACCACTAGAATCAAATATAATTTGATGATTGATTCCTTAATTTAGCACTCTTATCCCCCACATGAGAATACAACTGGGATAAGCTACGTTAACTTTGACTTTTAGATCTTCTCCCTTTTTATTATTTATTTTTAATTTTCTATAATGAAACTTAAGCACATCAGAAAGCAACAAACTAATTAAGGGTCTGGATAAGATATAACAAACAAAAACTGCAGCATCAGGTGGACTATGCCTCATACGCTAAAACTTTTAGTTGGACAAGAAATTAAGAAATCCAATTATTTCTTCAATTTCCAAAAGGTAGAAACTTTACCATCACAAATTGGTAAACATGACAGAGCACATCAATAAAACCTGTAACTATTAGGGGGTGATGTGGAATTTGGTGGGAAGAGGTTTATTTCTTGTTTTCTCATCTTCCAATTCAGCTGTCCATATAAAAATTCATGTCATTCAACATTAGTATATTTCCTATAATCTAAAAGAAAGGTAATTCTTAGATGGGGAATTATTTCTCAGCATGGAGTGCTGCCTTACGCTTATGCTCTTGCTTTCTTTTCCCTAAACAGGACTTTTTGCAAAATAAAACACGTTAATAGACTTGTAAAAATATATATTCTCAGTGGCAGTTTTTCATTTGAAAGTTTGTTTCTTTGAAACCTTCAAAGTAATCGTCTTTTAAAAAATGTGACATTTGTTAAATCAGGCTATTAGTTGTTTGTTAGTAAATCTAAGAGAAAGGTAAACAGGAGTGAGAGTAGATGGGAGCAACTTGGACTGTGAAACTCTGAAGTGAAGGGACAAGGATCATGTAAGTCAAGGCATGGTCAGTCGGCCTTAAAGAAAACATGAACAAGGAGTACCTGGCCCACAATGTACAGCAGTCAAGACTTTAGGATCTACTGTGAAACCTGAGAGCTTTGATCATCTATCTCAGGCCCATAAGAGCAATTTGATACAAAGGCTTTTCATCAGGGTTTTCTGGATCCATCTGTACTGAAAACACCATTCATAGTCTTGTTTTGATACCGGAAAATTTACAAGTATATTCTTGGACTTCCTCCACTACCCACGTGCTTTTAGAAACCAAACATTCAGTGGGTTTGAAAACATTTGGAAAAACAGTAGAATTCCAAAGTAAATAAAAAGTATATATTGAAATCATTTTTTCCTGTTGATTTTTCCTTTACTTTTAATTGAATTATTCCTACCGATTCATTTTAACTTTCCAAGGGAAGCTGACGAAAAATTACATAATAAAATATTTCCTTTTCACAGTTATCCAAAATCATAAAAGCATATTTGTTACTTCCACTTATCTATGTAAATTTTTCTACAAAATATAAATTTGTAATAACTATTAAAAACTGAAAATATTTCTAGTATGGCTACCATTAGGACTCTAAATAAAATGCAAATTTTAGCAATTTTTATAATTTATTATAATACCGGTCAAACCTTGCAAGATATGTATTACTTTAAATTAAAGTCAGGAAATTAAGAACAGGACATATAAGATTTGAAGCATTATATACAAGAAATATAAAATACTATGCTAATTTCACTAAAGTAACAATTTGTGTGAAGTCATTTCCCACTGCTAGTGTTCTTCTCCAAGTAGAAGCCATCTCCTGAGGTATCACTTCTATCAGATATAGAGAGCCTGAGAACCTAATTGAATATATGTGATCCTACCTAATTATTACAAGTGACAGAAATTGTTTTCCTCTTATTACTGTCCTTGATTTTCCTTATCTACAACCAGATATTAAGAAGAAGGTAAAGGGGGCAGATACATAAAGAAGAAAAGAAAATAACATCAATATTCCTTATTTCTTCATTATTTATCGTAAACACAGATAATTATAATGTATCCTATTTCTCTATATAAAAATGCATAAACAGTGAGACCACACTAAATAAAATTAATAATATAAGAATAATTAAAACAGAAAATAGAAAACTTACACTCTCAGGTATTGTTGGGAGTCCAGTTACATCAGGGGTAATGAAGTAGGAATGCTAATCGATACAAACAAATCACATATGAAAAAGATAATTAAAACTTGGTATAATTACATACAATTTGTAATGAAAATCAGAAAAAAATATATTGAGAGAATTAATAAATGCCATGGACTGAAATTCAGTATTTGTTGAATTTGAAAGATTCTTAAATGAGTTAGCAGGTTTATATGAGATTTAACAATTACATTACCATGCAAAAAGTTAAGAGTTGGTTAAAAATATTTGCCGTTAAAATTAAGATAAGACTAGGGAAAAGTGTTAAGGCAAAAAAGAGTACAGTATTGAAAGGTTTATTTTGTACATATACATATATATATATATATACACACACACATATATATACACTATTATACACACATAGAAACATACATATTATTAAAACACATTTAGTTGAGGTAGATTGGAAAAATTAAAGCTTGTTAACCAAATATATCAAAATCTATTAAGATTCCTGAGTTTCTGTGGTAAGTCACAACAAATCTTTTTTGTAAACATCAGCCATCCTATTATGTAGCAAATAGCAATAAAATATAATTTTTCAATGTTTCAAACTACTTAAACATGTGATTCCCAAATATGATCTTCACACATCCGCCAAATAATTAGCTTCTATAATGTTCAAAGAAGTACAACAGTTCATTACAATACTTAAGAGTATATTGTGTATATATGCTTTCATGTTACCAACAATATTCCCAAATTTACCACCCAGAATCAACGTGCAACTTAATCACCAAAAAAAGTTTTATTTTCTGTTCATATTAATCTCCAAAATTATTTAAATATCTTAATCACATAAGGACATATTTAATACTACCATATTATTAATAATTAGAAAAGGAACACTCTAGCCAATATTTGGGCATAGTTGAACTAGTCAGAACAAGGCTAGTTAACACAGTCATAATGCATAATTTTCCAGGGTGGAAGAACAATAGGAGAAAAATCACAAGATCTTCTGTGATCTTGCGGCCAAAAAATGTGATAAATCTCATGCTGCGAATATACTTTTAAATTACTACTACTGAAAATGGAGAATATGCATAGATTTTGGTCTCTATAAGCTAGTTTTATTTGGAATGGTTTTTAATAGTACTGTATTTCATAAAACTATGCTTTACAAGATAGTATAAACAGAAAATATTATATATTCCAATGATTAATTTTCTTAAAAAAGTCAAATTTACCACTTCCCAAAGGGCTGGAGTGAATCTTAAAGGCATAGTGAAATAAATGATTATATTTCCTATTTAGCAGCGATTTTTAGAAGCCAACGTCCTTTTAACTCACCGGTACTAGAGAGGGCTGATCTTTCAGAACTTGCTCACAGGCAATAAATATCTCTTGGTTCTTACAATACATGAGAGAAAAAAATGAATATTTTACTTTCATGGGAGAAGCTTACACAACAATTCGCTGTGTAATTAAGACAAAACCCATGTAGCCACATTAGCCACTAAAAAATACTTGAATAACAGTAATTATAAATATTATTTTAAATGCTGATTTGCTAATTTTATGCTAGAAAAATCCTAATGAAAGTATTTTCATATTACAAGAGTAGAGAATGCTGTGGATATTTAATGATTTTGAAATATTTCAAAAAAAGTATTTTCATTAGCCATTAGCTTTTTATAAAAATATGTGATTTCTAGTGGCCATTATCCACTTGTACAGGAACAAAAACTTCCATAATCATCAATTTTAATCTGTCATCATAAAACTAAAATCTCCTCTAGTAGCTGAAGATAAGTGTCCTCGTCCCAAATATGCCACTTATTTAACAGCATTACACCAGATACATTAGGAGTCTGTTACTGAAATCAAATACAATTAATTATTCATGGTAAACAAATGTAACAGGCGATTTTATCAACACTTAAGATATTATGACTTAGCCAAGCACAGAGGCTCATGCCTACAGTAATCCCAGCACTTTGGGAGGCCAAGGCGGGGGGACTGCCTGAAGTCAGGAGTTCAAGACCAGCTTGACCAACATGGTGAAACCCCATCTCTACTAAAAATACAAAACTAGCCAGGCGTGGTGGCAGGTGCCTGTAATCCCAGCTACTTGGGAGGCTGAGGCAGGAGAATCGCTTGAAACCAAGAGGCGGAGGTTGCAGTGAGCTGAGATCACAACATTGCTTTCCAGCCTGGGCAACAAAAGTGAAATTCCGTCTCAAAAAAAAAAGATATTATAACTTTAAAATAGGTATAAGACTTGAAAAACTATCATAGACTATTAATTCAAGTGCATATAAGAATTCTTGGGCCGGGCGCGGTGGCTCAAGCCTGTAATCCCAGCACTTTGGGAGGCCGAGGCGGGTGGATCACGAGGTCAAGAGATCGAGACCATCCTGGTCAACATGGTGAAACCCCGTCTCTACTAAAACTACAAAAAATTAGCTGGGCATGGTGGCGCGTGCCTGTAATCCCAGCTACTCAGGAGGCTGAGGCAGGAGAATTGCCTGAACCCAGGAGGCGGAGGTTGCAGTGAGCCGAGATCGCGCCATTGCACTCCAGCCTGGGTAACAAGAGCGAAACTCTGTCTCAAAAAAAAAAAAAAAAAAAAGAATTCTTAATTATGGAAATAACTATTAAGGAATAGCAGATAGTCAATCAAATTCCTATATACATAGGAATAGAATACAGTCAATCAAATTCCCTTGACAAGATTATTTCAGCTACAATTCTGCTATTTCAGAAGAAAACATTTTCTACATATGAGATGAAACTTCAATTTACCACCACCTAACACCTGAATAGCTCTTCATGGTAGATTCAGATGTATCATTTTATTTATTTGATTTGAGAAAGTTGATTACTAAAACAACTTTCTCAAAAGTTGACATGCTCAATTTCTCAAATGGAAAAAAAAGGATCTGGTATTTTGGAGATGTATTTTTGTAAGATATTTATTTACCCCTGAGCAAATATGATACTCAAATTTAAAGAGAGAACATATTTGTATTTCTCAATGCCACCTCCATTGTCTTAGCACCTTTATTTTCCTTAACTCTTTAACAGTGCTAGAATCACCTTATAAATATAACACTTTCAAAGAAAAATGACCTTTATTTGGAAAATCCCACGCTCTTCTTTATTATCCTTGACCTTTCCCTTGGCCTTTCTATTGCATTTCCACTAACCATAAACCTTGCATATTTTTGGCTTCAATGACCTATAAGTCTAAGATTCTCCTTAACTGCTCTTTCCCCAATTCTTTCACTGCATCTCCTTTCTTTTTCCCTATAGCCTATTTGGGCAATTAGAACTTAGCCTCTGCTCTATGCTCTTCTATATTTCATCCTTTAAATAGCTACAACTATGTCTACTGTTGACTCCCAAATTTGGGTTAAAAATTCCAGGTTATCCTTAGCTTTTTATCACCCAGTCTCCAAATGACTATTAAACCTTTCCACTTTGGCAGTGTGGAACAAAAGAAGATGCAGACATAAAGCAGCAGAGAAGATCACAGGAAAGAAAAAACACTGCATCAAGTTGTATGACAAGAGGTTTCACAAAGGTGAAGATTGAGCAAGTTCTAGACTAACAACACATAATCAACAAAGTGACTTTTGTCCTAAAGGAATGATGCTCATTCAAGAAGCTGAACAAAACTATGTGACCAGAATAGAGGAAGAAAATAAAAAATTCAATTGAATCTAAGAAATGGATGGTCCTGAAAGTCTGGCCAAAGTTTGAACAAATTATATAGTTTAAGTAAGTCTACCCTGACAGTCTTTTGTAGAAAGGACTGGAAGGAAAGGCTCTAGACTAAGAACTCTTTGAAGTACTAAGTGCCAGAACTAAGATGCTAACCACCTTAGTCTACTACTAACAGTAGTGGTTAAAGAATGGAATAAAGTAAGAGAACATTACTATTACGTGAAATCACAGGATAAAATCTGGGCAAGACGCATGGACCAAAAGAACAGAATAGAGAACGAAGAAATAAACCCAGATACTTACAGCCAACTGATCTTCAACAAAGCAAACAAAAACATAAAGTGGAGAAATGACCCCCTTTTCAGGAAACAGTGCTGGGATAATTGGCTAGCCACATATAGGAGAATGAAATTTGGATCCTCATCTCTTACCTCATATAAAAATCAACACAAGATGGATTAAGAACTTAAATCTAAGATAAGAAACTATAAAAATCCTAGAAGATAACATTGGAAAAACTCTTCTAGACACTGGCTTAGGCAGGGATTTCATGACCAAGAAACCAAAAGCAAATGCAATAAAAACAAAGATAAATAGTTGAGACTTAATTAAACTAAAGAGCTTTTGCATGGCAAAAGGTATAGTCAGCAGAGTAAACAGACAACTCAGAGTGGGAGAGAATCTGCACAGTCTGTACATCTGACAAAAAGATTGCTATCCAGAATCTACAGTGAACTCAGACAAATCAGTAAGAAAAAAAAACAATCCCATCGAAAAGTAAGGTAAGGACATGAATAGACAATTCTCAAAAGAAGATATACAAATAGCTGACAAACATGAAAAAATGCTCAACATCACTAATGAATCAGGGAAATGCAAATCAAAACCACAATGCAATACCACCTTACTTTTGCAAAGAGGGCCACAATGAAAAGAATCAAAATACTTTTGTAAACATCCGCCACCATATTATTTAATAAACAGAAATAAAACATAATTTTTCAATGTTTAAATCTTCTTATACATGTAGTTATTACAAAATATGATCCTCACACATCTATTAAACAAATATTAAACTGATCAACTGATCACTGCATCCACACCAATATTAGATGTTGGCATGGATGTAGTGATCAAAAGACACTTCCACACTGCTGGTGGGAATGTAAACTAGTACAGCCACTATGGAAAACAGTGTGGAGATTCCGTAATGAACTGAAAGTAGAACTACCATTTGATGGCAGCAATTCCAGTACTGAGCATCTATCAAGAGGAAAAACGTCATTATACGAAAAAGATACTTGCACACATGTTTATAGCAGCATAATTCACAACTGCAAAATTGTGGAACCAACCCAAATGCCTGGCAATCAACAAGTGGATAAAGAAACTGTGGTACATACGTAAAAAGGAATGAATTAACAGCATTTGCAGCAACCTGGATGAGACTGGAGACTATTACTCTAAGTAAAGTAACTCAGGAATGGAAAACTAAACATCATATGTTCTCACTGATCTGTGGCAGCTAAGGTATGAAGAAATAGAGGCCTAAGAATGACACAATGGACTTTGGGGATTTGGGGGAAGAGTGGGAGGGGGTGAGGGATAAAAGACTACATATATGGTGCAGTGTATACTGCTCTGGTGATGGGTACACCAAAATATCACAAATCACCACTAAAGAACTTATTCATGTAACCAAATACCACCAGTATCCCAATAACTTAAGGAAAATATTAAAAATTGATTAATTTTAAAAAAAGAAGAAAATTATTACCAAAGAAAATATAATAACAACTTCCCTATCTCACAAAAACACAAAAGACCTGTTATTATATATATTTTGAGTTACCTTTTCTCTCATTTTCTCTTGCAACATTATATTTTTCCTTCTTTATTAGGTAAAGTTTATTATTTTAAAAGAAAATAAATATAAATTTTAATAGTCTATCCAGTATGCCAAATTCACAAAGAAAATAAAAGCAGCCATATTTTATAATCTTGAACTTTGAACATTTACAAAAATTCCCAAAACATGAGTGTTTTTAGATATAGATGGCACAGTTCATTAAGTTTCAATAGGACAATAAATAATCTATCCCATCATAGGCTTGCTGTTTTGACAAACAGCAGGTCAATCATATTTCCAGTATTTTGTGATTATACGAAAAGATATATTGATATATAAGAAAGAAGACAAAACTTTTCACCCAGAATTTTTATCATATAGTTACATGTTATATGTCATTTTCTGTTCTTACTAAGTATTGTTTTCATTTTAGGAGGGTTATTAAGCATGTGTGTGTATTCCTTTATTATGCACAGATTTCACCTAAAAATCAATGTTTCTTACAACCAAAATATCCTCATAGATTTGGTTTCTTTTAGTTTATAATAATTTTTTTAATTCAATAATTCAACAAAATTATAAAAATACACACCTGATATATCAAGTTACAATTGTTACAGCATGTTAAACTGCTATGTTAGTACTAGCAATGAAGTTTTCCTGGAAGCAGAGATGACTTGGCAAAGAATTACCTGAAGGTTCATGTGTTTGTAACAAAATAGAGACAGCTATGACTCCAAAAAACAATTACTGATTGAATACTTACCACACTCAAGTTGACAGGAGTATTTGCCTTTGGTACTGGGTGGTTATACAGTGATTTGAGAGTTTCATTCAGATCATTTTCCTAGGGAAAAGAAAATGCACATTTTATAAATAAGACACATACCAAGCAATGTCAATTAAAACTACTTAATAAAACAGTCCACTGTGGCTTTTCATATTAGACATATTTTATATAAATGTTTTTAACAAAAACATGAAATAACTGAAATTAAAATATTTGAGTCTAGTAAACATGAAAACATATTTAAATCTGTTTATCCAGAAGAATAATGTCAATACTTATACTTAGTATAAATGTGTATTTTGAAACAGTTATATATTATACAAATATCATAAAAGGAAATTATCTAAATCATTAAATCCAATAAGAACAATGGGATTGAATAAAAATAGCGATATAACTTATCAGATCACAGAGTACTCTCATTTTCCATTTTCATTTTAAAATCCTAAACCAATTTTTAAGGAATAGAAACAATTTAAATAAGATTATTATACTAAAAATGCAATGTAGAGGAAACAATTGCTAAAAATGTCTTTTCTACATTGCTACTGATTACTACTTGACCCACAATAAATGGGATTAAATAAAACATACAACAAATCTACTTCATAGAATTTGTATAATAATACTGTGCCTTGATGTGCAACCTCAATTTTTCTGCATCACATGCTACAAATCTAGTAATAAATGTACAATGATTTTTATAAACATATTATCTTTATTCTCTATTTTCATGTTGGAGGGAATAAATCAAATGAAAAAGCAATTGTTCAGAGAAGTTGACAATTTTATTAAGTTTGGATATGAGACATAGACTTCTCACGATATTTCTTATGCCTTGTCTATCCACTTATACCAAAATTCAATAAAGCAGATCTCTGTAACTACTTTCAAAAGTATTCATTTAAAACTACTTATTTGAAATACTCTTCAGGATGACCTAAAAAGACTATAAACAATTTATCTCTTGACCATCTATACAATGAAGTGTACCAGAGAATACTGCAGATGATACCAATCCCCTTTGTATAAGAGACTCATACAGTTATGTTTTAGAATTACATTTTAGAAGGACTGCAAAATAAACAATTTACCTCTTAAACTTTTAAACAATGAAGGATAACATGGAAAATTGTGGATCATATTGATACTCTGTTTATACAAAATTCCTACAGGTAGAAAAATGTTTAGACTAGCTTTTAAAAATCCTTTGCACTGTCTTACATTGATCAGGTAAGAGTAATTTGAACTGTAAAAGTTATTTAAATAACCGATCGCACTGAATTAGAAATGAACAGAAAAAAGTACTACAATTACAAATCTACTTCTAGTTTAACTAATGCTATAAACTTATAATACTTCTTCCTCAAATAAGGAACACAAATGGAGCCTCCCTATTTCCTCTTCTCAGAAAGCCAAAATTATATCAATTTGCTTATAGCTATTTTATTTTATGTATTCCAGTATTACTGATGGTTTCAGGAAAAGTAAAATGATAGGCAATATGGAAATACTAATAATTTATCAGTAACAGTTACTAAAAGTTATAAAATACAGAAAAAGTATCCCAAATTTAGACAACTAATATAATTAATGTGAATTCCACATGTACATTCACAAAAACAAACAATAAGAAATTATCATGAATAATTTAACCAGAATTCTGATTTTGACTTTTCATTGCAAAAAATAAATAGCTGTATTTCCAGTTATTTTCTTAGGCAAGTGAATGACTTATAGCTTCAACATAAAATTATTCAACTGTAAAATGATGTCAATATATATTTCAAATAATTAAGCTATCAAATATAGAGAGAAAAATACTGACATGCACAAACACATACATATTAACAACTAGACTTTTGACAAACATTAAAACTTGCAATTATATTATAATAAACTTGGTTGACAAATTAGAAAATTGTTCACTAGAAGAGTAAAGAGTACCTTAATTCATTACTAACACCTTTAAATTCTATTTATATAAATAATACCTCTCTTACTTTCCAAGTGACAGAACTAGTTATCTGACTTATAGACACTGTACTTTAATCAAAGTCACAAGGGAGTTCAAGACCGGCCTGGCCAACATGGCAACACCCCATCTCTACTAAAAATACAAAAATTAGCTGGGCGTGGTGGTACACACCTGTAATCCTAGCTACTCTGTAGGCTGAGGCAGGAGAATCACTTGAACCCAGGAGGTGGAGGTTGCAGTGAGCTAAGATCATGCCACTGCACACCAGCCTCAACAACAGAGAAGACTGTTTCCAAAAAAAAAAAAAAAAAAAATACATAAATAAATTAAAAATACAACTTAGTCCTGGTATGGTGGCTCATAACTGTAATCCCAGCACTTGGGGAGGCCGAGGTGGGAGGATCATGAGGTCAGGAGTTCGAGACCAGCCTAGCCAATATGGTGAAACCCTGTTTGTACCAAAAATACAAAAATTAGCTGGGCATGGTGGCACACACCTGTAGTCCCAGCTACTCAGAAGGTTGAGGAAGAAGAAACACTTGAACTGGGGAGGCGGAGGTTGCAGTGAGCCATAGAGCAAGACTCAATCTCATTAAAAAGTAAAAAGACAAGAAAGAAAAAAAAAGAAAGGAACTTAAATCCTGGATTTTAGGATTCAATCAAACCACACTGCCAAAAGTCCAGTTATATTTGTACTGCCAATACTACATTAAGTTACCTGGGAACAGTCATAAACATTTTAATTCTAAGGTGACCACACTCACTTGTACTTGAGACCACCACCACTTAAGGCAAATGAAAGATTTTAGCTGGTTTATCAAAATCACTAATTTTTATTCTTACAAGCTTATTTTCAAATACAGTCTGTATCCATGTAAGCATAGTACTTGTTTCACCAAGCTGAGCAGACAGAAATGTCTATACTATTTTAACTGAACTGTATTACCAAGGCAATATAATTTTTAAAAATTAAATGAAAACTCAAAATACAGGCTGGGTGTGGTGGCTCATGCCTGTAATCCCAACACTTTGAGAGGCTGAGGTGGGCAGATCACAAGGTCAGGAGCTTGAGACCAGCCTGACCAATATGGTGAAACCCTATGTCTACTAAAAATACAAAAAAAAAAAAAAAAAAAAAAACTTAGCAAGGCATGGTGGTGCGTGCCTATAATCCCAGCTACTCGGGAGAATCATTTGAACCCAGGAAGTGCAGGTTGCAATGAGTAGAGATTGTGCCACTGCATTCTAGCGTGGGCAACAGAGCAAGATTCTGTCTAAAACAAACAAACAAAACCCTCAAAATACTATGCCCAGGAGGACATTTTGCTCCAAATTCAGTCAACAGAACTTTTAAAACATGTAAAGAAATAAATGATTGTATACTGAAAAGCTGAAAATAAGCTTTTCCTATGGAAAAAATTAGGATGAGAAAAATGACATTCTGTCTTACTATATCCCATTTAAAAAAATTCCATCAATAATTTTGACTATGGTTGCCTTTAAAACACTGGCATACAGAATCTAATGAACAAAAAAGTAACAATATGTGGATATTAGTTTTTTTTACTATAAAATGGAGATCTAAAAACTGAATATTAGAAACTTTCTAATGTATTTTTACTTATTCTACACCTTTTGACTCAATACCTTTTGCCATGGGAGACACAGCGATAGAAGATTTCCAACTCTCAATTATTACTTTAGATGTGCAGACACAGAATTACATACAACCCAGTGTAAATGCTCTAGAAACCCACAGAATGCATCACCTAACTCAACCTGGAAAGTCAGGAAAAGTCTCTAGAGAATTACTTGTGCTGAAATTAGGTTTCAAAAGAGTACACTAACTCTTAAAACATAAGTGTGCTACCATTAATAATTAGTGAGTGGTCTGTAATCTTGATAGACAACTGAGTAGAGTTATGTTCTGGGAAATTTAAGTGGCTCAAAACAATTAGATAGTACATTATGTGCAGCAGATGAGTGGAGGCAGATTAATCCAGAGAGAAGGTCAGAAGCCAGACCATAAAGTTACTATACATCATGCTGCTCACAGTTTAAATTTTATTCTAAGAAAAAGAGGAGACTGTAGAGAGATTATAAACAGTGGAATAATAAGTTTCCAAAAAGTTCACCATGAAAAGAGTGGTATGTAGACAAAGAGTATGTCTGAAATGCCCATCAACAGTATCTAGAAAAAAAAGAACCAAGAATAGAACATAAGTAACACCAAAATGTTAGGTGTCGATGGAGGAAAAAGGCCCAGAAAGAAGCTGAGCTCATAAGTAAAACAAAAAAGAGACAATGTCAGGGCAGCCAAGAAAAACACAATGTCAAGTGTGAGAGGGACCAAATAAGAATTTAAATAGCTAACTAGAGAATAGAAAGTACACCATAAGTGAGAAAATTAATAGACAATAGCCAATTATAAAGAATTTTAAAAATGCATTTTATTTCAATTGAGCTATGTCAAATAGCATAACTAATATCTTAGTAAATTAGCTCTTGTTAAAAACCTCAAAGTAGTGGCCGGGCGCGGTGGCTCACGCCTGTAGTCCCAGCACTTTGGGAGGCCGAGGCGGGTGGATCACGAGGTCAAGAGATCAAGACCATCCTGGTCAACATGGTGAAACCCCATCTCTACTAAAAATACAAAAAATATCAGCTGGGCATGGTGGCGCGTGCCTGTGATCCCAGCTACTCAGGAGGCTGAGGCAGGAGAATTGCCTGAACCCAGGAGGCGGAGGTTGCGGTGAGCCGAGATCGCGCCATTGCACTCCAGCCTGGGTAACAAGAGCGAAACTCCGTCTCAAAAAAAAAAAACAAAACCTCAAAGTATGGCCAGGCTTGGTAGATGCGAGGCAGAGGCAGGAAGATCCTGTGAGGCCAAGAATTTGAGACCAGCCTAGGCAGCACAGTGAGATTCTGTCTGTGTAAAACATTTCAAACTTAGTTAGTTGTGGTGGCATATGCCCATAGTTCCAGCTACTTGAGAGACTGAGGTAAGCGGATCACTTGAGCCTAGGAGGTTGAGGCTGCAGTGAGTGATGATCACAAAACTGCACTCCAACTCTGGGCAGCAGAACAAGACCTTGTCTCCAAAACAATTTTTTTTTAAAGTGAAAGAATAATTAAGGGAAAAAAAATTAAAAATTATTATCTGAGAGAAGTTTGTTCATTCTAAAGCAAACTTCAGCTTTTGTTTCTATTTTTTTAAGGAAAAAAAAAAGCATAAAGACTTTTATTGAGAGCTAAAACTATAAAATTCTTTGAAGAAAACTTTAAAACTTTGGATTTGGTAAGATTTCTTGGATATGATACCAAAAGCACAGGCAACCAAAGAAAAAGTAGATAAACTGGACTTCATTAAAATTAAAAACTTTTGTGCATCAAACAATACTATCAAAAGAGTAAAATGGCAGGTAAACCATGCATTGGAATAGAATACTCGCAAATCACCTAATAAGAAATGAATATTTGAATATATGAAGAACTCCTACAATTCAACAACAAAAAACACAACATGATTTAAAAACGAGCAAAGGACATGAACAGATCTTCTACAACTTTTGACTCAATACCTATTTGCTGTTAGAGACACAGAGACAGAAGTAACAAATACTTCTCTAGAGACTTTTCCTGACTCTCCAGGTTGAATCAGATGATGCTTGCTGTGTTCCCAGAGCATTTACACTGGGTTGTAATTTTCTGTCTGCATAACTAAACACCTTTTCTAAAGAAGACATACAAAGGGAAAGTAAATATCCACCAGCGCTATTCATTAAGGAAATGCAAATTAAAATCACAATGATACAACACTTTGCACACACATTATCCAAAAAAGAAAAGAAAAGAACAAGTATTGGCAAGATTGTGAGGGAAACAGGACCCTTGTAAGTTACTGAAGGAAATGGAAAATAGTGTGGCCACTGTGGAAAATGCTCTCATGATTCCTCAAAAAATGAAACATAGAATTACCATACTACCCAGTAATTCCACTTTTAGGTATATACCCAAAAGGATTGAACCCAAAGGCTGGAACATTATCTATACAAACATCTTCATAGCTGCATTATTCACAATACCCAAAAGGTAGAGGAAGCACCCCCAGTGTCTATTGACAGATAAAAGAATGAACAAACTGTGGTGTATTCATATTCAGTCTTAAAAAAATTCTGACACATGCTATAACACGGATGAATCTTGAAGACATTATACTAAATGAAATAAGCCAGTCACTTAGCAAATAAGGACAAATACTTTGTGAGTCCAATTACATGAGATACATAGAGCAGTCAGATTCATACACATGATACTATGGTGGTTGCCAGGGATTGTGAGGCTTGGGGAGAAATGAGTAGATATTGTTTAATGGGTATAGACAGAGTTTTAGGCTGGCAAGGTAAAAAAAGATGTATGGTATTGATGGTTGCAGACCAACATTAATGTACTTAATGTCACAAAACTATACACTGAAAAATGGCTAATACGTTAAGTTTTATGTTATGCCATTTTATAACAATTAAAAAACGGGGAAAAAAATAGCTTACCAGTTCCTTAGCCAAGTAATCTGCAAGAGTATTTAGAAGCTTGTAATACACTTCAAACCAGGGAAGGTAACTGCAAGAGAATTATTTAAAAATGTATAGACATAAAATTCAAAACAAGTAGAAAATATAAACAATTTATTTTAATTCAAACATATTAATCCTGGAAGTCAAAAAAGAACTATATCCATTTTCTTTACTTTTTCAGTGAAGTTTTACATGTTATTTATTATGTTTTCATAAAACAAATCACAATCTAGAGTTCTATTTAAACAGCTGTCCATTACATACTTCTATTTTTATATCAGCAGTATCTAAAATTATTTTCATAGTATTCAATGAAAGCATGCATAAAATAAAAATTAACCATTGTAAAAAAATCATATAAAAACTAATTTTAAAAAGCTTTTAAAACAAAAGATTTCAAAATTCCTTTTAAAATGTTACTGGAGTATATAATACAACAGAACTATGTTTTTAATAAATTCTTCAGAAAAGATGTTTAAGAATGATGGCAAATTTCAAAATAACTCAATACAAATATCAGAAAGACTATCTAAAAATTTTCAAAATTGTAAATGACTTATGTATCAATATCAAATATAATTCAAAATTTATTTTAATTCATTGTGCTAGATAAAAGTATAATCTTTATGATAGCTAAATACTAAAGCTAAAAATCAAATAAAACAAAATATATATTCTTTCTTAAAAATTAAAATAGTATATTTTAGAATGTCTGAAGATTTTAATGGTAAACTGTACGTTTTTCATATAGAAAAGAGGAAATCACAAAATACACTGTTGTTAATTATCAATTAACAAATACTCATTACTTTTCTTCAAACCATTAGAACATGCATGCTACTTTTAAAGAGAAAATATTGTTGTTGCTTTTACTACATTAATTGTACACAGATTAAGACTACATGCACAAAACATAAAATTTTAAAATCAATAAGTAGAACATAAAAAATAGCATTCTAACACGATTTTTTTCATATAATGTCTGATTTGTTAGTGACTATGAATGATGACTTTTGAATCAGAAACTGAAAGCAGTAATAAAAGAAGTTAGGTAAACTATACTATCTTTACTCGGCAGAATATTATAGAGTTATTTAAAATGATAATTACAAATACTAAGTAAAAATATGAAAATTCCCATGATATTTTAAAATATCTACCCAATTTCTGGTTAAGTCGAACATATTGGCTGTGCGCATATATCTCTGTGTCCTCTGGAAATAACATAAAAATGACAATACCTGAATAAAAAGGGTATAAATTAATGAATACAAGCAAAATGAGGGAAAAAATAGCAATGCAGGTGGATGGCTTTGTAAATATGGTAAACAGAGAGGTAACAGCAAAAGAGAGGAAAGCAAAATCCAAACACCATTAGAAAGGAAAAGCACCAGCAGATGTGCTCTGCACAGAGTTCTGAAGCACTGATTTAACAATATCTCAGAGAAAAAAAACCCTTGAAGTCCTATTTTCTTGGAATGAAACCGAACACTATACATGCAATGTTTCCAATTCAGTTTAATACCTTCCTTTTGAATATAAATTAACAGCCAACCACCAGATATTTGAGGAAATAAAAATATAAAATCATGTTTATCTTGAACAACATAAAAGGAGCTACAAGCAAATATAGACAGTACAAACAGCTGAAGAGAACTCCAAAACTTAAGTTTAAGTTTAGTAGCTGAATTAACAGCAGGAAGCTATTAAACAAAACTAAACTTTTTTAAAAAGTAAAAAAAGAGAATTTCAGACAGGAAAAAAGAGCTTTAAGAAATTCTAAAGGCTAAAAAAAAGTAAAGTTAATGGAAAGTTTAGATGATAACTCCAGAAAAATCCCCCAGAAACTAGAATATAAACAAATAATAAGAGAAAAAAATTAAACTATTAGACCATCAATGTCAACTATCATAAAGCTATAGTCATTCCATAAAGAAAAAATAGAGGAAATAAATGAATAAAAGTTTCATTTTAAAGAATTACTGGAAATTTTCCCAGAACTTCAGACATGAGTCTCTAGACTGAAAGAGTGAGTGAATGAACAGCATAAAAAATGTGCCAAACCAGAGTATCAGGGTAAAATTCCAAAACAAGGGATAGAAGAGTGCCTAAGGGTTTCCAAAGAGACAAAAAACAAGTAACAAACAAAGGGATCAAGTTTAAAAATGTCATCGAACCTCTCAAGAGCAATGCTGGAAGTTAGAAGATAATGCCTTCAAAATACAGAGGTTAAATTCTTTGCACTCAAGACTTCTGTGTCCAGACAAACAATCAATAAAGTGTGAGGACAGATTAATAGCATTTGCAGTCAGGCAAGGACTCAAAACTCCACCTCCTAAGGCATCCTAAAGGATGGCTAAAACAAAATAAAGGAGATGAAAAAAAGGAATACATGGGTGTAGGAGGAAAGAAATCTAAGATCATGGAAGAGTGAAGTCCTAGGATAAGAGTCGTGCAAAGGCCTCTAGAGCAAGCAGTCCAGACTGAAACAGTAATGAAGGCTCTAGAAGGGAGATGCCAGAACAGGGTGCTTACAATAAACACACTGGCAACTTTGCATGGAAGCCTGGAAAAATCTGGATAGGTATGAGACATATCTGTGATAGTTTTGGGGAATCTAAAAATTAGAAATTACTATTGGTAATCTCAATTTTCCTATTTAAATTATTCAACTCTTGAAGCCCTAGTTCCTAGATGGCTATTCTACTACGTATATCCTCTACTTACAAAAAAACCCAAAAACCTCACAAATTACTAATACTGTTACATTACTAACTAAATATAATACAAATCAGTACATCATAGTTTCTACATTCACTACAACTCAAAGAAATAATATTCATGGCAAATCTTCTAACAATATACACAGTCTTTAGTTTAGAGCATAATTTATTTCATTTGTGGTCATTTCAAACCTGAAGAAATTGCTATTTCCAGACAATTTCGACGTGTAATGTAGTTCAGGCCTAAAAATTCAGATGAGACCTAATCTATTCAAAGAAAGGTGTTGGTCTGTTTCTATTCTAACTCTCAAGGAGCTTTAGATAAAGCAAAATGTATCGGTTGTTGGTGGCTGCATGCCTACCTGTTAATGGTTACATTGTCATTTTCACCTTATTTAAATAAAGTGAAACCTTTGGTAACAATTTTTCTTTCCTGGTCTACTATAAAAACAAAATACATACATATATGTATGTATGTATGTGTGTGTGTGTGTGTATAATAATTATGTTATTAGAAAATAAGATAACGTTTTTTCTTTCCGGACCAAAATCCTCAACATTTATTTCAATGTTCTGGCTTTCTAAGTTTATATTACTGTTTTTCACTGGTTATCTTCCCCTTTCAATTTCCTTTCAAATTGCAAAGGCATATCAGAACCAAATTTTTCATTAAGAAGCTAATTTATACATATAAACATCATTTATCTGTAAGATTATTTCCTTGTCTTTGAGTAAATAATTGATTAATATATCCATATTCAGGTTACTTTAAAAATTTTAAACAGTGCTAGACATTTTGGTATCTACATAATTATTACTGTTTTTTACATGTCCAAGAATAATATGCTTTACTGAATTTCATCCTGCTACCAGGCTATGACTTAATCTATAAATTAAACTAACACTATTTAGAAATAAGGTTTACCCTTATGGGATATTTCTCATAGTCATCTCTAAGGCCCCAAAATGCTTTATTATTTCTTTGGAGAGTATAACTCACTAGTTAGTTATATGTCCATCTGGGGGCTGAGAACAGAATCTAAGAATCATAGAATTTATGTGTTAAAAAATTGGAAGTGCAGGAAGTAAAGTTACTTAAGGAGTAACTATTTGAATGACAGTATGCTAGGTACTTACATGTATTATCTTGTTTAATTCTTACCCTAATGCTTTGATACATACTTGACTAAACTAAGATAAAGCAGCTTATCTAGGGTCACAAAGCTATGGAATGGCAATCTTGGGATTAGAACCCTAATCAACCTGACTGAGTAATATAAGCTCGGGGTCTACCACAGACAGCCTATCACCCTATGTTGGCATGTATTTCTATACAGTGAGCCTCTGAATAAACATGTTCAATGACGAGGCATTTCAGGCAGCTAAATAAATGCAGATAAAAATCATTCTGTTGTAATCTTAAATTAGCCTACCTATAAGTTCTATGCACTGAAGCAAATTCTATCTTCCAAAATTCATGTTTATTTAACATTCAGAGCACTACCTTTATGACTTTTAAATTACAGTTTGTTCATGTGGGCAAATTTTCCAACAAATAGAGATATATTTAATGTGATTCTTTTAATTCACATTTTGTTAAATCCTTCCAATTTTAAATTTGATATTGCTTCTGTGTTCATCATTGTGGATAAAAATTCTGAAAAGGATATGGCCAGCAAACGTGTTCAAGATGCCTCCCAAAATAACACAATTCATCAACACTCTATGAGATTTTAACCTAATCAAAAGACACAATTGTATCATCTAACCAACACCTTTCTCTATACCCAATTTGTCTGTGAAATATTAGAAGGGACTCAAATTTCAACTACAGCACTCCCTTATAGATCAGTAGGTACTATCCCCATAATAAACCAAGCCTAGTTATGAACAATGCTCTCTTTGTAAACATGTACTGGCTCTCAGTGATAACTTTCTCCTTTTAAAGAGTACATATCATTCATATTTTTTAATAAAAACATCACATATAAAAGTGGAACTACTCTATAACACAGCCACGCTCCTAGAAATATCAAGAAAGCAAGGAGATTTTCTGATGTAAATAAACAACATCTACAACAGAGTGCAAACTGGCTATTTGCAGGCTGCAACTAGCCCAAGGGCATATTTTGTTCGGTCAATACTGTGTTGTTTAATTAAATAAGTTGCCAACTTCCAAATCTGAGATAATTCACTGTAAAAATCTGGACTTCTTGTTCCTCTCAAAAAAATCAAATGAACTGGTAGCATTGGCCATACATTTTTCACTGTGCAACAAAAGCCTAGAACTGAGTTATGGCTTTTGTCTCCGAGTATGGTATGT